TCATTAAAATCTCCCAACCAAAGAGCCCAGGCCCAGATGGTTTCAGCACAGAATTCTACCAGTTTTTCAAAGAAGTGCTAATACCAATACTCTTCAAATTGTTCCACACAGTAGAAACAGAAAGAACATTGCCAAACTCTTTTTATGAGGCTACAGTTACCCTGATAAACAAACCACATGAAGATGCAACAAAGAAAGAGAATCCTAGACAAATCTCCATCGTGAACATTGATGCGAAAATACTCAATAAAACACCGTGTTTCTAGGTTAGTTCTCCCTCTTTCTTCCAATCCTCGATTTCCATCAATTTCATCCAGGCAATCACGTGAAGCTGTGGGAATGTGAGACAGGGCAATTGTGACTTTGTGTGTTCAATATCCAGTGTTTCCATAGCTACATCTTTTCTCAGGGTCTCAGTTGTGGTAGCCATGAATAAGAGGTCTCTTGCAGCTGTGATCTAAGTGACAGAAGGCCCAGGCTATTGACTCTCAATAGACCAGCTCCTCTGCAGAGACCGTGGTTTCTGCAGTGGGGTAGGAAAGCAAAAAAGACCCTGTGAGATCCCATTCCCCTCTGCTTGATTACTGTGGAGAACTCAGCCTCAAACTTGTAGAAAATCTGTTGGAACTGTTCTGCAATCTAAGTCCCTTGTCTCAGCCCATCATGGTCACATCCCTGAGGATGAAAATTAGTAAATTACCGGGTTTAGAAATTTTGCATCAGACCCTGCCCCCCCTCCTTTTTTCTCCCCTATTTTAATTTGGTAGCTATGTTGCTGTGACTTCACCCTTTGGATAACTGTGTATCCCAACACCCCTTATGTATCAATGTTGTGCTCACATTTTTACTTCTTGTTGTAAACATTTTGAGCTCAAACCTCACCAGTCTGCTCAAGAGTGATTATTAATGCTAATGTTGACCATGGTGGTATGGTATTTATGATGTGGCTGGCACTGTATTTGTATCTGGTTTCATCTATATGATGAATCTGTCACATAGAAATTATTTCCATTAAGAGGATGAAAAACTGGAGCTTAAAGTGTTTTTCAAAAATTACTTAAATCTGTATGGTTAATCAGAGATAGACCTGGCTACCTGGCTTCAAGGCTAACACTAGTGGTAGGAATAATTGCAGCAACATTTTTTTCTTTCTCTGTGTGTGGTATTTTGCCAAAAAAGTTTACTTGATTATTATATTAAGTCTTTAAACACTACTATGAGGCAGATGAAGGATGTTATATAACCTAGCATCCTAGAATCAGAGGCTGAGGCAGGAGGACTGTGAATTTGAGGCAAGTCTGGGTTATATACTGAGACCCTTGCCCCCAAAAAGTTCCCCCATGCTAATGAAAGGAGAAAACTGCAGATGAGGATGAAGATGAACAAAACAGAGACTGGAGCAACTGCAAAGAAAGCTGATGCACCAAAAGTTGGTTGTTCAAAAATGATTAACATCATTAGCAACCTTTTCCCAGATTAACTTTGAAAAAGGCAGATGGATATTCATACAATTTGAGACCTCACCATTCATTCTCAAGAATATGAAGAATTTCAAGAGCACTCAGTAGTTATATGCTAACTGTTGGTTGGCCTAGATGCAATGGACAAATTCCTACAAACCTGGATTCTTAGAAATGGAATCCTGAAAGAAACAAAATTAAATTGCTGTATAACCAATAAGACTGAATCAACAAAAAAATTGACAAAATTTCACAGACTTTGATAATAAAAACACTGAAACTGGATAGAAGTCCAGCTTATTGTAACAAAGGCCATACATGGAAACCCACAGCCAATATCATATGCAGTAGGGAGACTGACAGCTTTCTCTCTAAGATCAGGAAGAACACAGGATGCTGCTGTGACCACTTCTGTTCAAGAGACCTTTAGGAGTGCTACACAGAGCCATTAGGCTAGACAATGAAATGAAGGTACCCAATTATGAGGTGCTAAAGATATCTGTAGATGACAGGACCTTGTTCATAGAAAATCCTAAACATTCTACAGAAAGTTCTCAGAACTAAATGAGCAAAACTAGTAAGTTGGTTGGCTAATGAATTGAACATAACCAAGTGTGCTGTATTTCTGTATACTACTATTGACCATGAACAATTTGATTTTTGTTTTTTCCTGGCAGTAGTGGAACTTGAACCTAGGACCTCATGCATACCCAGCAAGTGTTCAGCCCCTGAGCAATAGTCCCAGCCTTAACAGTGAACAATTGGAAAGGAAATGAAGAAAATATTTATTTATGAAAGCACCAAAAAGAATGAAATACTTAGAATTAACTCCACCAAGGAGATAAAAGCCTTACACTCAGCAAACTACCAAATAAGAGATGATGAAAGAAGACAAGAAATGACAGCCATTGGGGTTGATGGGTTGGAAGACTTAATCTCATTATCACTGTTGTTCTGCAGTACTGGGATTGAACCCAGGGCTTTGTGCATGGTAAGCAATGCACTACCACTGAGCTATACTCTAAGCTCTGCCTTCTAATTTTTATTTAGAAACAGGGTATCACTAAATTAATCAGGCTGGCCTTGAATTGGTTGTGATAGGCACTCTTTGAACTTTGGTATTCCCACCTCAGCTTCTTTCAGGCATAAGCCAGCTTGCCTGAAAGACTTTTTTTTTAATAGATGACAATATCCCTGAATGTAGTCTATCAGTTCTATGCTACACCAGTGGCATTTTGCACAGAAATAGAAACGTCCATTCTAGCTGTCCTGGAACTAACAATATAGATCAGGCTGACCTCAAACTCCCAGAAATCCACCTGTCTCTGCTCCCAAGAGCTGGGGTTAGAGACAAGCACCACCATACCTGGCCTTAAAAGTATCTTTAGAAAAACAAGAATAAAATTGAAGGACATCCCACATGATTTCATAATTTTAGTACAAAGCTGTAACAATCAAAATAGTCTACTGCTGACATAAAGGCAGACATACAGATCAGTAATATAGAATTGGAAATCCCAGAACTGCTCATGCACACTGGCCATGATTAAATTAAAGATTAGTTGAAATGATCAATATGTGTATTTATGGGGCACAGTTTTGCATATATATTATCATGTGTGTCAGATATGCACAGCTGGCATATCCAGCATTTCATCTGTCACTTTTTATGTTTGTTTAAAACATTCATTTCTGCTGGCTCTTTTGTATTTATTGGTGTGACACAGAGTTGTCCTATTGAGTTACAGAACTTGGAAGGCATTCTTGCTGTCCATCTGACCCTCTGTGACCAGATGTGTTTTGATCAGGCTGCTAAGACTGCACAATGTTGGAAGTAAAATCAGTTAAACAAGGGATGTTAGGAAGATGTAATATCCATGTAAAAGAATGAAGTTAAGCCTTCACCTAACAACATATACAACTCTACATGGATCAAAGACCTAACATGGATCAGAGCTGAAAGTCATCAGACTTTCAGGAGACAGGATGAAAGCACCTTGAAATTGGATTTCAAATGTTTTTGTTATGATGCCAGATGCATCATATGGGCCTTTTGGCTGCTTAAATGTCTCTGCAGAACAAGCATGTTTGGTACCTGAGGAGGACAGAAGAGGGTGTTGAATTCCTTGGAACTTCAGTTACAGACAGTAATAAGTTGCCACGTGGGTGCTGGGAATGAATTTCTGTCCTTTGGAAGAGCTGCCAGGGCTCTTAACTATTGAGCGCTCTTCCCAGTGACATAAACCACACACACACACACACACACACACACACACACACACACACACACACACACTATTACACATCACAAAAAAAAGTTATCAGAAAAAAAGAGTCTTATGCAAGGAGGTCATGCTGTCAATGTTAGCATGAGGATAAGAAACTCAGTATATGGGCCACTAAGATGGCTCAGTTGAGAAGAGTCCCTGCTGTACTCGCTCCCAGTGCCTACCCCAACTGCCAAATAGAAATAAATACACAAACTAATGTGGGCCAGTGAAATGGCTTAGCAGATAAAGGGCTGGTTCACCCACCTGAGTTCAATCCCCTGTCCCTGGAGAACTGGCTCCCACAAACTGTCCCCTAAACTCCACACATTGGTGTGGGACATGCACACAAAATGAACAAATATGCAAACGTAGTAAGAAACCCCATACAGGTCCTTTCTATCTATGGATTTTATATTTATGGTTCGAAACCTTGGAAACAAACTACTTGGAAAAGTACACTTACTGAAAAATGTATTGTTTCCTCCTATCATGGTCCTGTACTCAGCACAGTAAGACTAGTGTCTATGCAGTATTCATATTAGGTATTGGAAATAATCTAAAGAAGTTTTGAATGTGTGTGGGGTGTGTGTGTAGAGATACATGAATATTTTACGACATTCTGAGGGTTGACTGTGTGTCTGACTCAGACACTAAACTCTTAATCACTTTGCATTTGTATTTGCTATATTGACATTTATTGTTGTTATTACTGACAGGATCTCACAGTGTAATCTAGGCTGGCCTTGTATTTCTGTTTTTATAGAGAGATTTTCTATTCATTTCACATACCAACCACATATTCCCCTGTCCTGCACCCTTCTGCCCACAAGCGATCCCCTCCAATCCACCCCCCATTCCCACTGCTTCCAAGGCAAGGTCTCCCATGGGGAGTCAGCAGAGCCTGGTACATTCAGTTGAGTGACCTTGGACTTCTATGCCTCCTGCTTCATGCTCTCTCCCTTTTGAGACAGAGTCTCACTATGTAGCTCTGGCTAACCTGAAACTGGCTACACAGACCAGGGTAGTTGGGAACTCATAGAGTCCAACTGTCTCTGCCTCTGGTGTGCTGGAGTTAAAAGCATGCAGCACTGTGCTCACCTTGCTTGGTGGGTTATCATGAGATAACATGCATCCATCACCAAGCTGGCTGTATTTGTTTCCTGAACAATGTTTTTCTCCTTGTGACTTTGACCCATTCTGTCCTGTGTTGATAAAGAAACTGCCCCCACCCCAAAAGTTATGGAATAACAAGGGAGGAGAGGTCACTCACCTATTATGTCCAGCTGGATGGGGTCACTCCTCTTGGAACTGACTTTATTGGATACTTCACACTGATAGTCCCCAGAATCCTGCCTCCTGGCAGGGACTATTTTGAGGGTGCTGTTGTTCTGAGTCAGATTCATCCTATTCATGATCCTCACCCTCTTGCCATTGAAGAACCAACCAATGTAGATATTAATGTCGATTGACAGGCACTTCAGAAACACAGAGACCATGTCTTTATCTATGGTTTGCTTGAGTTGGATGGAGGGTGTAGTCACTGGTGCTGTGGATAAACAAGGGATGCAGCCAGCTGAGAGTCTGTCACCTTCAGAGATCTCAGACAGCTCCCAGGGTCCTTTGAATGAAATGGCCCTCTGCAAGATCACATGTTTGGGTTTAAGATATGATCTACAAGAAGAGAGCTGAATCTTACTTCATCAAGATCACTCACAGTGACCCTTACTCAGGGTATTTGTGTAGATTCCACACTAGGAGCCTCTTCAACCCACATGTCAAGAAATCTCATGGTGGAGGGAATGTATTTCCCAATGATATTTGTGGGTATTCTTGCTCACACTTTCTGCGAGTGTGAATGGTCAGGTCCCTCTTTTATGAAATGGCCTTCTGTTTCTTTTTTATTAAATAATTTGTTTTGGGGTTAAGATGGCCCAGCTAATCTTAAAGGTGTTAAAAGTTAGACATCAGGACTGGGAGAAATCCCTTACTGAAGAATTTCTGTTTGTAGAAAAATGTATTTCCTGACCCATGTATATGGATTAAATACTACAGAGTAGAAGTGAATAATCACAGTGCTGACCACAGCCTGCCACTCTAATGCTCAGTACTGATATTTTTGAGACAGGGTCTCACTGCACAGTTCTAGCTTGCTTGGAACTTGCTGTGTAGACGAGGCTGGCCTCAAACTCACACTGTCCACCTGCCTCGCCCTACTCAGTGCTGGCATCAAAGTTGTGCGCCACCACACTCCGCCAACATTTGTTTTTTGAACCTTGAGAAGAGTAAGCAAAAGAACATCATCAACTGTCAGTGACATGGTTCACCCTGACTCAGAACAGGTCTCCCAGGCACCTTCTCAACCCACTCTTCCCATCCCATGGAGTCAGAGCTGAGCCAGACACCCCACCCTTGAGACAAGAACAGACCTGGGAGCAGAGGTCTAGTCCCCATGTGTGGGTATTATTCTCCTCCAATTTGGAGAATAAGAATGGGAGCACAGTTGAAAGCCCTGGGTGTTCCTTATAGGTCATGGAGGTCATAAAATAAAATAGGAAGGGACAGGAAAGCTTGTGTTAGGCACAGAAAGAAATCATGACCTTGAAGCTCTCCTAATCCTGGAAAGTCCCTCCACTACCAAAGGCTTTCCAAGACTGGGAGAACCTCCTCCTCACATTGCAAGCTCCATCCCTATCAGCCAGAAACCAGAGAACCAGGAGGCCATTAGACATAGGGATGGAGCAGGAGACTTGGGGGAAGACTGAGTTTTGCTTGTTTCCATAGACATGGGCTAGAAATTAAATGTTTCTGCACCTTCCCAGAAAACTGAAAAACTCTACTCCAAACTTGGTGCTGATATTTCAGAGATCCACTTACTAAGAACTGTAATGTTCTTGACTGTGGACTTACAGAGGACAGTGACAGTTATAGATGAGGGAGGTATAATATCCACTCTTATTAGTATTGATGTTGGGAATATAGAGCTCTTGGGAGAATGATTGGAGCTCTCCATTGACAAACCAAGAGTACTGTGCAGGTGGGTTAGCATCTGTGTGGCAGAAAATGTGAGGTTTGTCCTTGAATGGAAATGAATACTTAAGGGGGATATGATCAGGACATCTGGACCATCTGGAGCAAACAGAATAAAGTCACACGTGATGTCAGCAGAGGGAAGGGGAAATCCTGGTCTGCAGAAGGACATAGTATCTCTTTGAGCTGTGCTTTAACCTTAGTTGAGCAGGTCCTTCCCAGAGCTGGGGTGCAGATTAGCAGAAGAGTACTCATTCAGCATGCACAAGCCCTGATCTATCTCAAGCACAACACACAAACATCCCCAATGCACACTCTTGTGTACACTGAGCCTGAACCTGACATGAACCCTGTCTCCATTACCCTGAGCCTCTCTAGGCAGAAGTCCCTGCAGCCCATTTAAGCTCAATGCTGGGCCTGTCTACATGTGCTTGGGCTGAGACAGGATGCCCTGGCAGCCTAGGTATCTGTATGGTAGGTCTGTGTCATGAACCCAAGGGGACTGGGACTGAGTATGATAGATCTAGCCTTCTGTATTTAGGCAGTTGGGACCAGGATGAAACAGAAAAAATTAAAGTAATGTTCAGAGGGACTTGTGGAGTCCGTCACTGGGTTCCAGGTTCACATTCATAGGGTCCTGTGTCAGTCCTCACAACACTGAGTAAAGTGAGAGTCCTGTTGTCCTCAGACAGCTTCAGCCTGTCCTCTTCTGAGGGGCTTTGATCATTTGTCCTCCACAGGTAGGCTGTATTCTGAGGCTTAGGCTCACACATTAATGCTACTGAGTCCTCACCATCCATGGGATTGGAATTGTTGGTTGTGATGCTGGACTTCGGTAGCAGTGCTGTGCTGACCACAGAGAGATGATTGTTGTGTGTGGTACTTCTGATTCTTGCAAAGGCCTTTTATGACCAGAGACAGTCTTTTAACTTCCAGCCAACCCAGATCCTTAAAGAATCAGTCAGGAAGCAAATTACAGGCAGATGGAGTGGCTGAGTACTCAGATAATTGGGCCTCCTGTGCTGTGTGTGGGAGCAGAAAAGACTGTCTCATGAGAGAACTGAACTGCAGTGTTTGGTGATGGTCAGACTCAAGACTTGGAATCAGAGACCTCATTTTATCTCCTGGTCCTCACTGACCCATTGCATGCCATGGGACACAAGGTTTGAGTTCCTCCAGCTACACTGACCTCCCATGCTGAGTATAAACCAGAGCCCTTTCAGCCTTTGCTGTTCAGAGCTGTCCTACAGATAGATTATAATTAGTCTTCCCATTGAGATTCCCTGAGAAACCTGACAGCCTGTCTGAGATCTCACATAGCTCAGGATCTGGCTGACATTTAGGTCCGGCTTGGACACAGGTGGGCTATTCTTGTCAGGTGTTTGATGTTGGTTGACCTGAATCAGGGAGTCCTGATTCCAAGAAATGGTCTAGAAGAATGAAGGTACCTAGTGCCATTTCCATGGTGGGGAGGCTGGAAACGTGGCTGTGAACAGATAGCTTGTGCTATCCACAACCTGTGTGACCCTGACTCAGTGGCTGTGTTTCCTGTCTCAGTTTCCCAATAATAGGACACATGGTAAATGATCATTGCCATGCCTGCAAGTTAACCTTAGATGTCAACAACAACCTGACCTTCCACCAAGCAGTGTCTATTAGTGTTTGCCTGCAGGAAATAATCCTTAGGCGGGACCCCCAGAGGAAAGGAGCTGCCATTTGTACACTTTTTCTTCTATCTCTTTAGGGCTCTTGACCTTCCTGGGAGGTCTCAGAAGACCATCAGAAGAGCTGGCTGATTGCCTTTCCTACCTCTTCACCTATGCTGAGCACACTGTGTCTCAGGAGGAGATGCCCAGGTGACCTACCTCAGACATGGCTCTCAGAGGCTGACTGTCAGCAGGCTCCCAGTCTACAATCCATCATTGTCCCCTGTCAGCTCCAATAGGAGATCAAATTCCAACCCAGTCTACAAGATTTTGTGGATTCCTGTTCTAGTCTGGTAGGAGTTCTTCAGCAAAGCTATTGGGGGGTCATCTCTCTGTGAGACTCTCATGGTTTCCTCTGCCAGGCCCTGCCTGAATCCTGAAGGGTCTTCCTCAAGGCCATGTTCATGATGAGCATCTAAGACCCTGGGAGAGTCTAACATGCCTGAGCTCAGTTACCTCACCGCCTCTTCTCTGAGGTGGATTCAAGTGAGGCATCCTGATTTATTGCCTTTTTCTTCATTTTGTGTCCTTTCCTAAATGTTTGTATCACAATGTCATGACCATAACACAGAGTCATCCAGGAAATGACAGCTCTATAGATGAAGTAGGATTAGTTCCACCCATGACCCAAAAGTTGCAGAGAATGACTTACAGTACACATGAAACTTGATGGGTAGAAAAGTAGTATCATTGTTGTCATATATAAGCGCTGCTCCGTAGTCTCCTGTGTCATCCTTACTGACATTTTTGATACGCAGGGATTTATTGAGGTACATTGTCAATGTATCTTCGTATCCAGGCCTAATCTTTGACATATATAGGTACTTATAAAAGAGGGTTAGGAAGATCTTCTCACCATTGACTGATTTGTACCAGGAAAACGAAGAGACATTATTTGGCATGTTGTGGATACGTAAAAAAACGTCATTCCCTACAGCAACATTGGGTGGAACTACTTCAAGAGTGATGCCTTGGACAGCGGTGGGAGAGTTCCAGTAGGTTAAAAGAGAGACTAAGAGGGAAGAGAGAAAAAAATCAATTAATATTAGGACCTTTGCTTTTGGTAGAAATTTGAAATATGAGTGTTTAACTCTCAGCCTTGGTGTGTGTGTCCTGTTGGGGTGAGGTCAGCAGCATCACCCCCATTCATCAGTACCCCTGAATCTTTCCACTGTATGAAACTGGCTTCATAGTGTCTACACAGCTCACCCCTCACTGCCCTCAGATCCCTACTCATACTCAGAATCTATGGTGAGTGTAGCATGTCTTGTCTGACCTCCTCCTCTAAAGACTCTGTGCCTTCATTTTCTGACCTTTCCCTGCTCTGTTTCTTCTGAAGTGCTCCTCAACCCCTGAACCACCTTCTAGATGTCCTTGCTGCTCTATCTTCCTGCCCAATAGTAGCAGGTCTTTGAGGACTAGTTTGATTTTGGTTTAAACCTCTCTACCTCAAACAGGCTCAGATACCTGTGAGCAAATGAGTGTCCAGAGCCTGGGGTTTATTTGCAGATTTCTCAGGGTCCTACATAATGATGTTGTTTACTTGCCCACTTTAAGTTTTACTTGAAGAGTCACCCTGATGGAGTTGTCAACTTGAGTCTTTAGGATCCAGTGGCCAGTGCTGATAAATCTACAATGAGGAGCAACTGAGTTTTCTTCCCCACTTCCCAATTTCCATCCACTCTGAGCTTCCTGATGGTCTCAGGCTTCAAGCAGAACCAGATGTCATTTCTCAGGCTCTTTCCCTCTCCCAGAAGACCCCATCCAGTCTGTGAGCTCCCCAACTCTCTACTCCTGAGAAATGTTTCCTTACCTGTAAGCAAGAGTCCCCTCCAGGGGACCTGTCCTTTGTGGAGAGGGGCTGAGGTGAGCATCATAGTTTCTACTGTAGGCTAGGCTCTTCCTCTGGAGAGGAAGTTTGTGTCTCAGCCTGCTGCCAAGCTGGACTCCTCTGGTGTCTGCTCTGCTTTTATTCCCAGACCTCAGCCTCCTCCCAGAGGAGGGCACTTCTTGGAGTCAGATGGGCTGTGGGTGGAGTCTCTGTGTGTGCATTGCTCTGTTCTTCTGTGAGTGCTGCCTCCCATCCTTCTATTCCTTTGTTGTTCAGTGTTCTAGAACATACTTTGAGCCAAAAGGCTGAGAAGTGTCCTGTATCCCAAGAGAACAGCAGCTCACCCCAGGGCCTTGTCCCTGAACTTCCTGTGGCCAAGAGTGTATATCCTTGAGACCCCCAAACCTAGCAGAGCCCAGTCTGTCCTGTGATCTCAATGCTCAGGGAAGGTGGGGTTTATTCCCAGCAGAGATTGGCAGTCTGCTCTAGCGGCAGGAAAAGGTTCAGCTGAGTGATGCCTGTGGAGGGTCCAGACCTGTCATCAATCACTAGTGTCACCAGTCAGGTATCTGATGAAGGAATACATGTTATCTCAGGGGTTCATATTCTGCTGTGCAGGAGAAGGTGACCTGTGTTTCCAACGAAGAGGACCCTGTGCTCTAGTTTCTTATGGAGGGCACCAAGGAGACTCCTCTATCCCCAGCTTCCTTTGCTGGCTGAATGTGATTCAGGTCTGCCCATGCCCTCCCTGACCTTCTGGGTTGCCTTTGCTCTCCTTGGTGATTGCCCTGCGATCTTCCTGTCTTTCCTTATGGATGATGAGAGGAGGGAGGGGACTACATAGGGTCTCCTTGCAGAGTGGGGGTCACAGAGACACAGGGAATGATTATGTGAGGGAGCTCCAGGTCTGTTGGACCTGGGATGAAAACAGGGCTGCAATAAAGGTTCACACCTCAAGGAGAGTTTTCCCTGTTGAATATGTGTTTTTTTGTAACCCCCTCTTGTTCATGAGGAGACCTGCAGCTCATGTTTGAGCTACTACAAGGATGGTAGCCAAGCTCCAAATGCTGGAATGAAGCTGAGCACCAAGTTTCCCAGGAAGGTCCCAGTGAGCAGCCGCCTTTGAGGATCTAGGTAGATTTTTACTGCAGACTAGAACAGCTCAGATGAGACTCACTGCCATTTTGATCTGCAGTTCCAGGAAGACTGATGATGTTGAGTCCACTTTCCAATGTGTTTTTATTAGATTTTTTTTATATACATATCTTCTTCAGGGAAGGAATATCCAAGTCCTTTGCTAATTCTAAAATCATTTTATTCCAACTTTAAATTTTAAGCAAAGTACATTCATTCACTAACAATAATACATTCTAGACTTACAATATAAGATGAAAACCAAACCAAACACTGCAAACTTTTCAGTGTTGGTAATTCCTGGTGTGTTAACCTTTGAGATTCAGGGGCAGTAAGTCGGCATTCCCTGGAATTTTCAAAAATTCTCCAATTATGATGATTTAACCATACCTTGGGAGCCTTCACTCACTATAATTGTTATACCTGGATTTCTTGTTTAAAGAACAATGCACCCTAAGTTTGTAGCACTTACAAGAACTGCATTGTACAGGGACATTTAAAAGATGAAAAAAAAAAACTTCAAATTTGAGCTCCCAGTAAGGTGGCAGCACAGAGTTACATGTGGATATTGCTTGTTAAAAACCTGTTTTATATCAAAACCTTGTTCCATGTTGAGAGAGCAAGCATTCAGAGAACCCACACAAAGTACAGCATTATGTGAACTCACTAGGGAGTGTTCTGTCTCTTTAAAATTACCCTTTCATGTTCCTCTTCCTAAATGTTGCAGTGTACCTCTGCATATTTAATTACACGCATACATTATATAGGCTAGGATCCACACACAAGAAAGAACATGTGGTTTTTCCCTGAGATTGGGTGATCCCATTTAACAGTATACATTCTAAGTCTATCCACTTTAGTGTAAATTTTGTGATTTCATTTTTCTCTAGAGATGAATAAATTTCATTTGGTACATGCACTAGACTTGCATTTTGCATTCATCAATTGATGGACATCTAGATTGGTTCCATCTCCTTGCCATATTGAATAGAGCAGCAGCAATCATGGGGTGCCAATATCTCTATGGTAGGATACAGGATTTCTGGTTATATTCCCAGTAAAATATCTGAGTCTAGTTGTATTTTCTAATGTTTTGAGGCACTTCCACAAGCTCTATATAATGACTGTATTAATTTTCACACCCACCAGCAGAGAATACGTGTTCCTCTTTCTCCACATCCTCTGCAACATTTGTTGTCAGTTATTTTGATTATAGCCAATCTCTCTGGGGTGAACTGGCATCTCACAGTAGATTTAATTTGCATTTCCCTGATGACTAGGGATCACTTTTTTTCCAGAGCTGTACCAGTTATTTATTCTGAACACAAAAGATGTACCGTATAGATGACTTACAAATATGTTTTTCTGTTCTGTAGGTTGTCATTTCAGTTTGTAGTTTTAATTCAAAACTTACTGTCTTAAGGTTACTATTGTTGTAATGAAACAACATGATTAAAAGGAATTTGGGGGAAAAAAGGGTGTATTTGCCTTACCCTTCCATATAACTGTTCATCATTGAAGGAAGTCAGGACAGGAACTCAAATGGGCAGGAATCTGGAGGCAGGAGCTGATGCAGAGGCCCTGGAGGAGTCCTGCTTACTGGATTGCTCCTCATGGCTTACTCAGGCTGCTTTCCTATAGAACCCAGGACCACCAGCCCAGGAATGGCTCCACCCACAATGGGTTGGGCCCTCCTCCTCCCCCATCAAGCACTAATTAAGAAAATGCTCTTCAGGCTTGCCTACAGCCCAATCTTTTTGTTGTTGTTGTTTTTAGTTTTTTTCATTTATTTTACATACCAACCACAGTTTCCCCTCCTTCCTCACTTCCCATTCCCTCCCCCCACCTCACATCCTCCCTCCCATCCATCCCCTCCTCCTCCATTCAGAAATGGACAGGCCTCCCATGGGAGTCAACAAAGCATGACATATCAAGCTGAGGCAGGACTTAGTTCCTCCCCCTGCATCAAGGTTTCACAAGGCATCCTAGCATGGGGAATATGTTCCAAAAAGCCAGATGAAGCACCAGGAACACCTGATCCCACTGCTAGAGACTCCACAAACATACAGAGCTACACAATTGTCACCCACATGCAGAGGGCCTAGGTTGGTCCCATGAAGGCCCTCTAGCTGTTGGTCCAGAGTCTGTGAGATCCCACTAGCTTGTTTCAGTTGTCTCTGTGGGTTTCCACATCATGATCTTGACCTCCCCTGCTCATACAATCCTCCTCCTTCTCTTCAACTGGACTCCTGGAGCTTGGCCCAGCCCTTGACTGTGGATCTCTGTGTCTCCTTCCATCATTTACTGGATGCAGGCTCTCTGACGACAACTGTGTTAGTCACAACTCTGATTACAGGAGAAGGCCAGTTCAGGCCCCCTCTCCACAATTGCTAGTGTCTTAGCTGGGGTCATCCTTGTGGATTCCTGGGAGTTTCCCTTGCACTAGGTTTCTTTATAACACCTCCCGCCCCCCGCCCCCTATGGCCCCTTTATCAAGATATCTCTTTCATTACTCTCCCCCTCCATCCCATCCCAGGTACCAGTATGACCACTCATGCTCCCATCCCTTTCCTTCTTTCCCACCTCCCCCCCTCCCAGTTTACCCAGGAGATCTCATGTATTTCCCCTTCCCAGGGAAATCCATGTGTCCCTCTTATGGTCCTTTTTGTTACCTAGCTTCTCTGGGGCTGTGGATTGTAGTCTACAAAGGTTATCCTTTGTTTTACATCTAATATCCACTTATGAGTGAGTACATACCATGTTTGTCTTTCAGGGTCTAGGTTACCTCACTCAGGGTGATTTTTTTCTAGT